ATGGTTGAGCCCACGGGTCGTATAGTCATCGATGGTGTGGACACCAAAGCCATTGGTTTGCATGACTTGCGTCGGGCGCTTGCAATCATACCACAGGAACCGGTGGTGTTTTCGGGTACAATGCGCCGCAATTTGGACCCCTTTGGCCAGTACTCGGACCCCGAGATGTGGGCGGCTCTGGAGGAGGTGCAGCTCCGGGCGGTTGTGGATGAGCTCCCCGGACGGCTGGACGCCGAGCTGAGTGAAGGCGGCGGTAATTTTAGTGTAGGACAACGCCAATTGGTGTGCTTAGCCCGGGCTATACTGCGGCACAATAGGGTACTAGTGCTCGACGAGGCGACCGCTAATGTTGACCACCAAACCGATGCACTCATACAGACGAGTATACGGACCCACTTTCACGACTGCACTGTACTTACGATAGCCCATAGACTTAACACTATTATTGATTGCAATAGAGTTATGGTTAGTATTTGGTTTGATTAACTGTATAGTTATGGTATAGTAATTGTAATTTGGATTAATTTATGTGAATTATTACTATTATTAAAAATATGAATAAAACTCTTTTTGACCTAGGTGCTGGACGCTGGACAACTTTTAGAGTTTGACGCTCCGCACAGTCTACTTGAGAAAAAGGGCTCTTTCTATGACATGTGCCAAAAGACTGGCCCTGATATGTACCACCACTTGGCTGTAGCGGCACGCGAGACATTTTGCAAAAAACCACCACGCTCATAATTGTAAATTATTCTATTATTGTTTTATCAAATTGTATTTTGATTGAATATATATTATACATGACAAAAAGTTTTTAATTTATTTTAATTTAATTTATTTTATAATTTTGTTTAACAAGTTACTTTATAAAATGCAATAGCAAAACAAATTATACATAAATAAATTATGTAAAATAAAATAAATCAACTGTAATAAAGTTATAAAAGTACAATTTATTACATTTCACAAGTAATTTACTTATAATTTTGGGAAGTATCAAATAGTAAATTGTTCAATTGTCTAAACATTATTAGTTTACTTTATTTTGTACAAAACAAAAATAATATGCCAACAGATTATTTGATGTCAAACCAAATTAAACGAATATCCTATCATAGTTCATGTAAACATCCGGATCAATTCAATAAAAGTGAATATAATCATCTAATTATTACCAATGGTATCTCTAATTTTTACAATGAATAAATTGGTAACAAGTAAATATATTTTTAAAAAATTATTTTTACCAATATCTAAAATATGCAATAAATTAAAATAATACACTATCATAACAAATATTGATTTAGTGTTTTAGTGTAAATATACATCAATATACTATATATCTTTTAAGATTTGAATTAGATTTATATTATTATAATAGTATTAAATAATTAAAACAGAATTATCAACGAAGAGAGAGAGAGAGAGAGAGAGAGAGAGA